GAAAGGCAGTTGCAAGAACGAGCACAAGTTGGTCGAATTCGTTTGTCAACCCCGACTTGCGCAAGCCTCTCTGTCATGCCAAGCTGATGGGATGTGAAATGAAGCGCAACGCCCACTTGGGAAGCAGCAGCCGCAACTCTGGTGGGGTTTAGGCGTTGGATGAGGTTTGTCTAGCATGTTCGGTCGTCAGGCCCTGCTTTCGTAGCGAATGCAAATGCCATGACGATAGGGCAAGGGTGGTACAAGGGTGGAGGGGGGTCAAGCAAGGCATGTGCCTCCCACGTTTCTGGCGCTCTGCCATTTGTGTTAATTGGTGTTTTTGCAGCACGTCTTCGCTTAGACCCATGCAATGTAAGATGACAGAAGTTGTGCGGAGCATAGGAACTTGCCTCTTTAGTATGTTGAGTTCGACGACCTTCACTGACCTTTTTTAGCTACCTACCCAGTATTTTCAACATGGACTGCCATCAAGCAGTGAGCTGTACCTTTTGGGTGCCTTTGTTCAGCATGCAACTGTTGGATGCGAAGCTTTGGTGCACCATGCCTGAACCTTGCCTCACATGGACATCCAAGATGGATGATCAGTTGTTGTAAGGATTTCCCTGGGCAAGAATAATTATTTTTCTCGGCTTCTCTTTGATTGCGAGGAGGGCCGCCGTCTTTATGTCCCTGCGTTTGCTCCAATCCGCGAGTCGGCAATTGACCCATATCCTTGTAACACAACGACTGCAAGTCGATGCCCTGACTTTTTGTTTGTAATGTTTTATAGTGAATAGTAGAGGCCTCTGGCCCGAACCAATTTTGTGGGGGGGGGGAATACCTAAGAAAGTGGGAGTCAGAGTTGGACCTAAGTATTCCTCGGTACTGGGCCACAGACGGTTCATTTCTTCCTTTAAACAGTTGTTATTGTTAACGTCTCAGGGCTTCCCTGTACCACCCCCCTTGAACATATGTCTGGGTCATAGACATAGAGAATTTGGCTCCTTGGGGCCTCTGTTGGTTTTGCTGGCTCCGGATTGACTTAGTATTGGCGTTAGTTTGATGTAGTATTGAATAGAATTAACAAGTTGTTTATATTGAGCATTGCCAGGGCTTGGGATCACGTATTTTTCTCACCGATGGGCAGCCATATGTTCCACTGAACAAACAACTGTTCTGAATTTCCCCCCGGTGGGGAGTGATTTTGGGAGAACGTTTTTGGAGTTGCTTTTTCTGTGACTATTTGTTATCCGACATTAATGTTAGCTTGGGATGACAAAATCCTGCTGGGTTAGTCCGGGCCATTTTGAGAGCCCAATGCAACTTTATTTGCAACCTGTTTGCCCCCACACCATAATGTTAATGAGGAAGGGGGATGACCAAAAATAGGCTCCAGCCCCTCATGCAGCAGCAGCTACTTTGCTTGCTCATGCCACTACATCCTATTGTTGTTTCAGGCCAATATTTCCTGAAATCCCAAAAAGCGTGGCTTTCTACAAATTTGCACATGTCTATTTGTCGTTCTTTACAAAATAGTTTTGACAAGGTCCTTTGTGGTACCCAGAGTGCCCCGGTTCCTTGACCCAGCTTTCGACTGAGGTCGGGATGGGCATGCACAGCATGCCGTACCTGCCAGGCACTGGTTGATAGCCACACTGTCACGGCAAGATGTTGCTGGTTTTTAAGTACGTAACATGTAAAAGGGTTAAATGGGCACCCCGTCTCCTTGATATGTTTTGGAAGTTTGTTGTAACTTGACAGGCTTATCTATTGTTCGCGTGGGTAAGCAGTGGGTTTGATTGTGACAACTCGCAGCCTTGCGGCAGTCAACCATGGATTGTCCGCGGGTGTTAGTTGTTGCTTCATGTGGTCCCGGGAGGTCGACAACTTGTTGTTTGCTTCGATGGGCAGCTTGCAACGAGGGCCATGTATATACCTGGGTCACATGCACATAGTCAAGATACCGTTTGGCCTTTGCGTGAGCAATGACAGCAATGTGTTGTTTCTTGCTGGATGCTACTTTCTCTCATGGCCCCACACATGATGAAGGCCCGTATATATTATCTGAGTCCATGTCTGCGCGTCAGGTGTTCCTTTAGCTCGGGCGCCCAGTGACGGGTTACGAAGGGATAGACTAGGAACTGTGAAGTGGCCGATGCGTTTGCATTCACTCTCAGCCAACTTGCTTGGGCACATTCTAGCACTTCTTTGAACAGCCAAGGTGGTTGACATCCAGAGCAGAGGGCGAAGTCCTACAGCCGTACGGGAGTCATTGAATCGTTTTGTCATACACCGATTCCACAGAGCAGACGGTTGTTTTCTGAAGAGCCGTCTCATGTTGCATTCTGCCATCTGATGCATACCACTATCGTTGAAACAGGCGACTTTGGTCTTTCTTTTCAAAAGTCCGAGAAACAAGTTCCCAGTCACACAGCGACACATGGGCAACATGTGGCGTATAGAGTACATCGGGACTGGCGTAGTTAGTTGCGACAAGCAACTTGGTGCCCCAAGCGGGTGCGTTGAATAGAATGGTCAAGCGCGCCATCTCAGGCTCGACCAGGGAAGAAGCCAGAGGCACTGAGGGTCACGCCTCAAAGCGTTGTTTTCACTGTAGACTTTAACTATAGAAGAGGTTCTGGCCATGGGCGGCCTATGCCGGCATTGTCATGTTTCCCACTTGCGGTGATGAAGAGGGAAGCGAGAGTTGTATCGAGGGATGCATTGATCGACCAGGTGCATCCAAAATCTGAGATTCGTACAAATAGCCGGCACAACGCACATCGCAAGTGGTACTTATCGCAAGTGGTACTTCACAAGTTGTACGAGATGAATATGAGTAAAAGAGGCCAACCGCACCATGGTGAAACTAATCCATGGGATGAGACTCAAGATGTTAGTCCAGGAGGATGCTCGGCAAGCCAGTGGCATGGCACTTCCATGACCTCAAGCGGTCGTAGCCATGTGCTGTATAGCAGCGCAGGACGTTTGGTGATTGTGTGTAACCCGCGCATCACGTCTTTTCGCATGAGAGGCTTTACGATGAATTCCTGAATTTATGACATAGTACGATACATATTCCACAGCAGTCATACGTTTGGAACACCAAGAAGAGGCTTGCCCATGAAAGACATACGATCAGGTAACGAAGAGCATTTCTACAACGAGGACTTTATTGGCACCCTTTCAGATGGTGAGCCGTTTGACTTGTCTCTTGCGCAGAAATTGGGATGAAGTTGGACATTGACACCGAGAAGCAGCGGTTGAGCTTCACCTTTTTTGACCTTGTCAGTGTGTTAGCCCTCGCTTCAGAAGTTCAATGAACTAGAACAGCACATATTCCTGAGTTACTTTGTATTATTCAAGCTCAGAGTGACCGAGGGCGTACTGTTCAAACCACTCGCCTTGAACATGCATCGCCTAGACCCGTGAAGCTTGCTTCAAGCAACATGCAGTGAACATTTGGCGCATTTGTAGTGCAATGTAGATTGGACATGCCTTGGCCGTCGGATTATTTCCAGATTGGCAAACGTAAACATACTCAGCTTGTTGCGTGGAATCTCGCAGGAAGGGTTTCGAGGGACCCCCGAAACAAGCGCAGTGCCATGCCATTTATTGCAAAGCGGTGAAACATCTCCTGCATATGCGTGAGTGTGTGTGTGTGCTTGTTTGAACTGTTTGGGGTTGGTTTAAACGGAAAGCAGCAGCAAAGCCACTCATTTCATCATAGGGTTCCCCTATGTTTGCACACAGCCGTATGAGCTTTGTAGCATGGCCAGGCAGAAGCTGTGCGGCGGCGCTTCACGGAGGACGGGCGAAGGACTTGGAATGTGATCCCGGTGACCGGCGTCCGATCCCTTGCAAAGTCAATTCTACGGGTACCGGGTATGTGAGAAGAACCCTTTGTTAGCCATTTCGGGTCACCCAAATCTCACCTTTAGAAGATTTTGCAGCGTTTTATATACAATTGAAGTCTATTGAATGTCTGAAAGTTGTTGCGTTTGGTCTAGTCCTTTAGCCGTCCTGGCAGGCCTGGTTGGTTTGGGCAGCTTTGCTCGGTTAGCGTTGGTTTTGGGCTCATTTAGCTTGGTTATGGCGTGTCGTTGTGGCTGATCATGCTGCCACAACGTGACACATTGCTTCGCTGGTCCGGCTTGCGCATGTGACGTATCTTACCAAGCTTTACAACGCATGGCGAAGACTGGTGTTTCATGGATAGCCCTGATTCTGGGTGGGTGACTCAGATATGGATTTCTCATTCCTCTTCTTCCAGCAGTTGGGACCGATACTTCTTTCAAGTTGGAGATCATTGTGTGCCCTTTCCCGGGAACGTTTGTCAGCGAGAGATTTGACCGCTGTTCGAGACCCTTGATGGCTGCGAGGTCCAGGGACCATCGAAACAAGCTTTGGATGACTATACTCCTGCGGCTTCCTAGTTGCCAGAAGGCTTGCTGTTGGAAGCTCGGAGAGTCATTTGGCCCTCGCTTCGGCCAGGCACCAAAGCAAGAAGACGAGGTGCCCGGGTATGCCACACATGTGCACAGAGGCTGCTGGACATGGTCATACGAGGCCACAGGATTGGATTTTTGATGTTTCCTGCTTAGCTTCCTGCCAGGTGCAGGCAATTTGCATCACTGCAGCCATTAGGGCTTAGTTTTGATACTTGTTCCCAGGATGGACAGCTTATTGAAGGTGTTCTAGCACGGGTTGCCCGCCTCATGGCCGATTTCTCAGCCAGCATTTATTGCCAGAAGGTTCCCAAAGCTACCGTGTGAGCGCACGGGCTGCTCAGAACAAGTTGTGTTCCAGCCTGCCATCGTCTCACATTCAGGCCGTTTCAGATGTTTTGGGCGCTTTCTTCGCCGCATCTGGCAACAATCACTTCGTGCCTGCCTCACTTCCTCGAGCCCAAATCTTCGCCTGATGGCACCGGGCAAGCCGATCTCCATTTCGGCAGGTAAGCCAAGTGCATTTGGAAGCCACACCCACCCACACCTGACAAAAGGCTTGACACCGGCGCCATGCTTGCCCGGCCGCGCATTGGCCTCCGGGGCTTCTCATCAGCTGCGCCGAAGCCGAAGCGGATCTTTCTGCGAGTGGCGACGGCTTCGGCTGCCGCGGGGTCTGTGGGCGCGGGGGCCTTTGTGGCGCACCATGCGCCCCCTGGCTTCACCCCCATGGTTCCGGTGCTGCGTCCTGTGACGGCGAATTGCATGCTGGACATGCACGAGGGTGGGGTGGCAAGCTGAAGCTAACGCACTAATCTCTTCCCCCTATTGATAAATGCACCCTATTCATCAATAGCGTTGTTCCAAGGCGCGCAAGCTCCCAACACTAGATTAGGATTAACCTTTCAAGCCTAAACCAACTCAATACCCGCAATTCTGTCCGCCGAGCCCAACTCTAGTCTTATTAGGGGACGTTTTAGAACCAACATTAGACCAAGACTCAGCGAGTCTTGGACCAGTTTGATTCAAGCATAACTCCAAACAATGGCTAGATTCCTTGCTTGGAAATGGCAATTCTGAACATGTTCGGGCCTGGAAAGCGGGGACACCATTTGACCTTCGGACCAATTCGGGGATCCATTGCACCCTAATCAATATCGTTCGGCCCCCAGGCGAATATATGTATTCCGGGGCAGGGGGTGGGTGGAGGCCCGTATATATTGTTAGGAAGGGACGAAGGTCACCGGCAAGGGAGCAATATCCCCGTAAACGTTGCCTGAGAGAACAGTAATTCAGGAGCGTGTGAATGTCAAGGTTCACTTGGCCACTGGGCGACCGTTCCTTCTTGCTTCTGATTTGTTTTTGGCTCTGGGCAAGCTCCTCATCCATCATGAATTCTATTTGATGCATATTTAGCTCCGGCCACTTGCGCATTGAGGTTCGGAGCACTTGAAGACGCGCTGGGCAGACCAAGAAGTAGATGGTGCCTTGGCGGGGGAAATCAAGCAAGCTTTCAACGATGGGTTAATGCAGTTTCCAATCTACAAAGATGGGGGTTTGCAGTTGGTTGTGCTTCGATGAATAGCGTCTCATACCTACTACGTGTAATATATATATATATACACTGTTGTACGCTGCCATGGCCAAACTTGTTTTATGGAAGTACAACTGAGGCAGGTTTGGAGGAAAACAAACAACTCTCTGAAACCGTTCATCTTTTTAGAACAGGCACAAATTGTCCCTTTTTCAGAGCCTCCTTTTCCTGTTCAAGCACGCACATTCAGAAGCACAGTCAGGTTCAACGACATGTTTTGCTGATGCTACTGGGAGTTCCTGTGACGACAGGTTTTGCTGTTCAGTCTCTACGGCCAAAAAATGAATTTCTGTGCGATCATGGGGGTTCGACCAGGTAAGCCGGTACCCAATGTTAGCTTGGTACGCTGGCAAAATGGTATATATATATATGTATATATGTATGTATGTATAGGTGTATGTATATGTATATATATATATATATATACATATATACATATGTATATATGTGTATATATGTATATACATATATGCGTGTGTATGTATATGGATACATATAATATGTATATTATTGATATGCATATATATATATATATATATATATATATATATTAATAATATATGTAAATGAAACATATGCATATTGCTGGGGTGCATGTGCTTTACTTGACAACATCCCAGGTATGAGTTCTACTGGAACTGCTGCAAGGACTCTGGCTTGTATGCGCTGGCCACCCTGCAGAGCCAGGCCGTCCTCGCATGCGTTTGGCACCCCCTGACGTCTTTGCCCTTAACATGATGAAACAAGATAATGTTTATATCCTTGGTTGCTACCAACATATTGTGCTTGTTGGGATTTCCCAGACCCAGTTTAGCAGAAGACGAGGTGACAAAGTGCCTTTATATTCAAGGAACACACGCAATTATGGGTCATACACCGATCCAACTGGCACGTGCCAAAGGCTGCTTCGCCTAGGCTCCGTCGTTTTGTTCTCTGTGCTGACGATGGGCAGTTATTTTTCACCATGACGATCCTGTCTCGCATGTGCTGACCAGTGCCCAACCGACCCTACTGACCCTGCGCCAGTTTGTGGCCGCCAGATGTCTCCGTCATTTCAACGGATCCTGGTTCAGGTTTCAACGGGCGCCAAGTGTTTTTTTTCAGGTTCCAACTGTTTGGGGTTCTATGCCTTTGTTCCATCTATGTTCAGGTGCCATCTGGTCCTATGGTTCTGGGTCTCATCATCTTTGTCCGGGCGTCATTTTTTGTCCGGACCCCAACTCGGAGGCAGCTGCACTCTATGGGCAGCTCCTGGACGCAGAGGCAGAGCGCCCGGAGCCGTCGCGGGAGGTGCTGAGAGAGCGGCTGAAAGCACACGCACAAGAGCCCCGCGGATGTGCTTTGTGGGGGGAGAAGTGGCTTCGGTTCGCTTTGGAACTTTGGGGGGTGGTGGGGATTTGGGTTGGGTCACACATGTTGCTTGGATGTTAGGACTTTAACTTTTTGCCAACTAATGGGTTTTCCATTAAACCACCAAAAGTTCAACTTTTAGCAGGAGCAGAAAGCAACCAAGATGAACAAGGGCAGCCAGCATGGCAACATGTCCACCTCACATCCGGGCATTGCCTTAAATGGCTGCGGGTCAAAAATCCCGTTTTTGCCCCCAGCGAACATCTGATTCAATCCAACCACTAAAATAGGTTCTAAAAGGGGTGGTATCCCAATCCAACCACTAAAATAGGTTCTTGGTGGTGAATTCACCTACCCCAAGCATGGGATGCCAATTGGTTTTGACCACCACGGCCACATCTGGGCACCCCATGGCCTTCGGCTCCCGAGGCTCCTGGCCGGGTCCGCCCCGGAGCCGCGGCGCGCGGCGCCGGAGGCGCCGGAGGCGCCGGAGGAGCTGGGGATGGCCCAAACGCAGCTGCGCCAGCTGCAGGCGGGCCAGACACTGGAACAACTAGGCACCCAAACTAGGTCCCCATGCCCTTTTGCCCCTTTTTTGGGGGAGGGTTCCCCTACCTAAAAGCACAGACTGCAGAAAAAAGGGTACCCTTATTTTAACCTCTCTACTGAAGGCCTAGCAAAAGCAGTAGCTGTAAGGGATAGTCTCAGAAGCGCTCTAGTTGTTGGGTTTTTGGGAAAGGGGTCAATGTTACTCCTCCAGCGCCCTTCCACTTCAAGAATGGGTTGATAGATCGCATCAATCACATCGGCGCTCCAAAACACGACCAAACGGTACTTAGAAGACACCAACCATTGGTCCGCTTGAGCGACTCCCGTTCCGCAGTCAAACCAACTGGGTGCTGTCCTTCTGGTCCAAAAGTGAAGCCGAACTGGATGTGGCTCACAATTCAAGAGCCAAAGTTTCGCAGGCTTTAGACTTTCCATTTGCCAAGGCGCCACTTGACTACAATTTCTTGGGCCGCCAAGTCCGTGTTGAGAAACTCGAGGCTGAAAAGCCGAAGCTGCTGGCGCAGATTGCGGACATGGCAGAGATGGCGCAAAGCAAGGGCCAGGCGGCTTCGCGTCTCGGGTCTTTTTGTGTTTGTTTGTATTTGTGTTTGTGTGTGTGTGAGGTGTTTTGTTGTATGGGACCTTCATGGTTCTGATGGTTCTTCATGTTTTGAACGGTCTGAATTCTATGAGTTTGGATCCGACTTGCCTCGATACTTATCATCAAGGAGTGTTACATTTGCCTTTCTTATGAACAACCCACAGAACTTTAGCAGCCAAGCCCAAAGTTCAGCGCAGTGTTTGTCTTTTTGCAGGAATGAAAGCCCTGGACAATGGGAGCTTGCACGCCACATCATGGACACTTTAAATAGCCAGATGTCGATCATAGCAATGCAATGCATGTGGCTGAGCCATTCCATTTGGGAAAGGCAACTTGTATCACCTGCCAGGAACTGATTGAGTTGCAGCAACAGCTACGGCGCAAGGAGACTTCGCGAACTCGCGTCGCTTGTTCTTGCGTCTGGGACTGAAGATGGCGCCTATGTGGGGTTTCGTCTTTGCCCCTGCAGATGTGCTATGCCGGGTCTTTGGAGCAGTCGGGCCTGTATGGGTCTGTAGCTGACATGTCAGTCAACATAATTGTTATGGGGTGTAGGAGCAATGCAAGATCTCGCGCCAAAGAGAGAGTTCTTGGAGAAATAGTGATCTCAACCATGAGGTCTTGTTGGCGTGAATACTGAGTTTGGTTGACCACGGATGGAGCCCTGTTCGGCTGTTCGGACTACGTACAAGAAGCCAATTGTGCACTAGTGTTTGGCAGGGCAATCATCTTGTATACTTGGACCTGAGTTCACTGATTCACACGATTGGGCTGGCATCCACGATCAATGCTTCGTTGCATCAACAAAGCCGTGTTGACGGACCAATTTGTTTTTGTGGGGTTTCTTATTATATCCTGTATTTTTGCAGGTTCATGTGCACTTTGCCGATATGTAAGCCAATCCAAGAGAAGTCGACTTGGATTTTCATCGAGGGCGGTCCGGAGACGAATGAGTTCCCATAATTCGCGCACGCCATCAGGAGCAGGAGAAAGCCTTCACGGAGAGTGCGCAGAGCGAAGATCGTGCCAAGGTGGCAGCTAAGGACTGCAACTCGGTCCCCCAGTACTGCCCTTTGACCTCCTTTTTTTGGAGAGGGTTCCCCTACTAAAATCGACTTCCGGAAAAAGAAGAAAACAAAAGTACCCTTATTCTACAGATCTCTACTGGAGGACCTTGGCAAAGCGCGGCGTTTCTGACATTCCGAGACATGTAATGAATAGTTTGTGTCCATATCATCCAGCCTTCAGCCCCTCAAGCTCCCTCCCTTGCTCCCTCCCTCCCTTCCTCCTTCCCTCCCTTCCTCCTTCCCTCCCTCCCTCCTTCCCTCCCCCCCTCCCTCGCACCCTCCCTCACCATGGCCCCAACCCTCAGCAATCTGGGAA